GCGGTGTCCTGGGGAGGGATGGTAGGTGCTCAGCAGTACGTGCTTCAGAATTTGAGGATTTAGCAGTGACAGAAAAAGGTGACTAGGTTGGGCGTGGGGAGAGTTGAGGAGTTATGGGAGCCACGGCTGCAGCTACCCATTTGCTGCCACGCGCCTGAATTGGGAGGGGAGGGGAGGGGAGGGGAGGGTTCTGGGTTGTCCCCAAGTCAGAAGTTAGGCTCCGCAGGAGGTGAGAGGATAGGCTAGCCAGGGCTGGGGGGAGAGTTTGCAGACCTGAGGGGTCATTTCCAGCAAGTGGCTCATCCAGCGACAGGGGCCATGCTGGAGACTTGGAGACTGAACGAGGCCCCACCCCCTTTTCTCTCCCTGCCCCCAGCTGAGTAAGAAGTACGGACCAGTGTTCACCGTGCACCTGGGACCCTGGCGGCGCGTGGTGGTCCTGGTTGGGCACAAGGCTGTGCAGGAGGCCCTGGGAGGTCAGGCTGAGGAGTTCAGTGGGCGGGGGATGTTGGCAACACTGGACCCGACCTTTGGTGGCCATGGTGAGTCATGAGTGGAGCCTGCTTCCGCATGCATGCGACCTTCCTGCAAGGCTCAGTGTCGCTGGGCCTCTGTTTTCTCATCCACAAAATGGAATGATAGTGCCTGTACATAGGGTTGCAGTGAGGATTGAATGAGGACTGGGCTTTGCACAAAGCCAGCACTTGGTAGTCACCAGGGTGTGGCAGGGTTATCTCTGGGCCAGGTGAAACCCCCAGGGCTGGGAGGGAGAGGCAAACTTTCAAGGCACTGGGCATTAACTGATGTGTAAACACAAAATGTAGAAACTATTATCTGTGCTAAGACTGAAAGCCAGAGTCCCGCACTGCAGTGACTAAACAGCCCGGTCTGGCTCCCCCACAGAGCTTCACCAGCGGGGAGACAGACCTGTCACCAGATAGTGACAGTCTGGAGAGGTCAGGAATGAGGAAGGGGCTGGCAGAGGGGTCAGGGCCAGGATGTGGGAAGCCCTGGGACTCTAGGAATAGGAGGAGGCTCTTGACCCAGGCTGCTAGCTGGGGGTGTCCAAGGTGTCTTCCTGAAAGGTGGGGTATCTGAGCAGAGACTCACAGAACGAGTGGGAAAGGTGTTCCTGGCGGAGACCAGCTAGCACAAAAGCATGGAAGTGCGAAGTATTCACCCATTCAACTGACAAGTTTCCATTATGCCTGGTCCTGCCCTGGGTACTGGGGATACAGAGGTAACTGAGATAGATGTGGTGTCCCGTCTTACAGTGTGGGGGGGAGAATGGGAGAAATCTGGGAAGGCTTCTCAGAGGAGATGACATTTGAGTGGAGACGTGAAGGATAAATGGAGTTAGTTCAGGGAGGATGGAGAGCTGAGTGATCCAGGCAGGGGGAACAGGCAAAGAGGGGGAATCCTGCCACTTCTGAGGAAGTGAGAGAAGACAGTGCCATTGTAGTGGGATGAGTAATAAAGCTGAAGTTAGCAGCGTCAGGTCATGCAGGGCCTGAGTCCTGCCACCGCATTTGGGCTTCGGGTTTTCTGGAGGAGCAATAGATATTAAGCAGGGAAAGGGTACAGAGTTAGAAAGGTCCCTGATTGCTGTGTGGGAGCCCAGGGAGGGGACTGGGCTGGATCA